GGATATATAGAAATCAGTAAAGCGCTTCGTTTTTTCGACAAATTAGAGGTGTTTTGACATTGCATCACAATTAGCTTCAAATATTAGGTTGTCCCGAAAGTTTTGTCGGTTTTTTCAAATCGCTATAAAATCACGCACAATAAAGACCTGAATGAGTTTCAACATGCATTCGATGCAGCTTTTCCTTCTCTTTCTTAGTGTTACATTTTCTAGCCATAATCCTGCACTCTTTTTCTGGTAATTGCCAAAAGTTTTCACCCCTCATTTTTATCTACTCAAAGTTCGACAAATTTTCACAGATTTCATTTCAAAGTTCTGGAAACGCTTAAGTATGGAACAGATAAAGCAACTCTCGGACTACATGGCAATGTTTTTAGATTCTCCTAATCTGCTGTTTTTTGCTTTATAAAATCATTTCTTCCAAGGTCTCGATTTTTGGCAAAGTCATGAAACACGCAACTGCAGCAAAAACATGGAAGCTTTTAGAATTTTTGCGAATTGATACTTGTTGTTATTAAACATTATTTATGCAACCTATCCAAATTTGATCTGCTTTGAAAAATCACTTTTTGGAGTTTTCGGTACTTTTACGTGTTAAACGTAATCAAAATGCCTTGGTTTTTCTCAAATAAATCATTATTACGGACTTGATAAACGCGTCCCGTGTAATCCAAAATATACACGATGTAGCCAAAGGTTTGCTCTACATTAGTGTTACCAGCGCTTTTTAGAAATAGCAAAATAAAAATTTTCAAAATTCAGGAAGGATTTGACAATAGTGTAAAGCTGCTCGAAAAGTCGTGACGATAACATCGCAAAGACAGAGTAGATCAAAGAGCAAATATAGCTGGAAGAAAGAGGATAAAAATAAGAATTAAATGACACCTAGACCGTCCATGGATTGGTGTTCTGTGGGTTTTAGTGAGCGATGAAAGAAATCGACAAAACTTTCGGGACAACCTAATATTTGCATGATTGCTCTATACTAGTGTAAGACCTGTTTGCAAATGTAATGCACCCTTTTTAATACTGTACATATGCATTCCCTCTCGCTGCTCACATAATGATGGCTACGAAGATCACCACACAATGATGATCGCGAAAAAAAATGTCAACAACTCTTTATTACAAAAAAACTTTCACGCGAAAGATCGGTGACCGCTTTGAGAGCAAAACTTTGATGAAGAAAAATGGCTAAGCATAAAATTTCTCACAAAGTTATTCGGCATGACAATCGCAAAAAAAGATGACTACGAACTATGTATCTAAACTAAATTAAGTTTATTGAGTAGAACCTTGAGAAGGCGCAATTGCACTCATTCGTTTTTGGACCGTTTTGAGAAGATTTTTTAAATTACTTTTCGGGGGGATGTCCATTTTTCAAACGTGTATCAGACGAACTCTCTTTGCGACCTTTGAAATACCGATTCTAGACTTATGGATTTCCTACCCCTTTCAAAATACCATTTCATGGTTTCTGCGATTTTTCAATCCTTGAACATCGACTACATTGTTTTCAAGCTCGAAAACATCATTTTATCAATAGATTGTCAAGCTTACCTGAGCATCCTAGAATATTAGCAGATTTACAGGATGCCAAAGATATAACGATTCACAGGAACCCAAAGACCTCACTAACAGTGAACTTTATGCTTCTACTCTGGGTGAATCTACATTGTTTTCCTTATTTTCTATTCAAAATACTACCTAATAATACTGAGATACTACTATAATTGATCTTCTTATCGTCAAAATGGTCTGAAGTATCAATTTTTGGAATCAGACGAATTTGTGCAAAGCTAAGTGTTTGACTATAAAACGTAAGATCCAACCACTTTTAAAGCTGGAGCAATTTTTTTTTGCATTTCACAACCCAGATATTACGATACGGCTCTGTCTAGCCTTCTTAGCTTCAAAGTGCGCGAACTGTAGACTTTTGTAACATACAAAGTGCAAAATTGTGCTTTTGGGGTAGATTTTAGGCTTCCTCACTTCAGATCAATCTAATACTTTATTTTCTGTAATTTTCATTCGAAATACTGTAGGCTAGTTTTTATCTGACTTTTTAGCTTGAAAATATGTGGAAGCGTACATAATCGTGTATAACTTTTGGCTTTTCTGGCTTGAGAATGCGCTGTACTGTAGAATTATTTCAGCATCTATGCAAACTGCTATCCACCATTAAGCTAGATCACTATCGAACTTCTTTCTAAGCTAACAAGGAAAAAAACGGAGGTCACGTGATTTTTCCATATTAGTTGTATATGAAGACACTCGTCCCGAAACGCCATTCTCAAATCTGTTTTAAAATAATTTTAAGTGAATCGATCATAAACAATTTGAATTAAGTTTTGGCGACGATCCGACAATGTGATTGAAATTTTAATGGGACACATCAAAATAGAAGTGCTGAGCTGCTCATACAAAAAGCGATTTTTCTACCTCTTTTTGATTGAATTTGTAATCAAACACAAAAGCTTGTGCAGAAAGAACTCTATCGAATGCATTCTCATTCAATGCGCTGCTTTCAGAACTGACCGAGTTTAAGATTTTTATAGGTATTTATTAACATTAACAACGAAAGGCCGTGATGATGGCCATCAATCAACTATAGGGGAGGGGGGTGGGGGAGGGAAGTCGGCAAAAAAACTGCGTCTTACACGAATTCGGACACAAACTTAAACAGCTTCTCTAGCGGCACTCCGCTCTAGCAGTAGAACGGAATTTATGAATTTTACAATTTATTTGCCATATACATGGAATTGAGCGTCAATCAAGGAAGGGTGCGGGAATCTCGGATAGCCACGCAATGTCGAGGGAACTTCGAGTAATTTCGTTGAATCCGCGACGTATGAAATTTTGCAAATTTTGCACCGGAATTTCACGACATATCGACGAATTCTACGGAATTTAGCGTAATCTCGGTTTTTTTTGCTGAACATTTACGGGATTCTTGCATTTTTTGTGAGCGGTATTGTAATTAAGAAGGGGATTGCTGAGAAACTTCGTATAGTGGGGTCAAATAAACTCTTAGCACAACCCTGACCTTCTATTACAAAATCAAACAAATGCGTAGAACTGAGAAAAAGTATCAAAGATTTTTCAAGGAGATTTAAGAGCAAGACTCATGTACCACCCTAATACTATAGAGGAACGCTAGTGTTTATAGCAAAATAACTACTAATAGATGTGATAATGTTTTCTTATGCCATACGAGGTTTGGTGAAGCTCTTTATTGCGGCCTTACGTTTCGACTTATCGTCGTCTTCAGAGGCCTAAAGTGGTGCGAGATTTTGATCTTGTGCTCTACCCCACCAAATGCCTTATCGACCTCAAGCTAGTTTCGAACCCCCCACTGATTTCGCTAACAATACTCGTAGAAAATGAAAGACGAACTAACCCTTGCTCTGCTTCACCATTGGAGCACTGATGGTATTGTGCAACCACGTCCTTTGGTGTCAGTAGTGCCAATAAGCCATTTTAGGAAGCTTATGAGTCGGTGTAATCACTACTGTTTATAGCTCACATAGCGGTATAAACGGCATGAAGTAATTCGTGATCGTTAAACATTCCTTTCTGTTGTTCATCGATGGGTTTCTCTGTGAGATATAGAATGCTTCGAGAGTTTTTCGCGCAGATGTGTTAGTCTCGCAAGCCAAAATCGTGCACTTGATGTCATAGTCTGCATCACCATGTTGTTCATGCCTATGTTTCCCGAGTGGTGAGTTTAGACCGCCAGGTCGTTTATCGGCTAGATATTCTTTAAGTCTAACACTTAGCGGTCTTCCAGTCTCTCTAATGTAGGACGCGCCGCATGTTATACAATCTATCTGGTAAATCACTCCAACTTTCGCGCAGTCGCCAACATTGCCATACGGACAAACTCTGCATTCTTTTGTAATGCAAAATTTGTCATAAAGTCTATTGCGTACAAGCTTTCTTTTGATGTTCGCGCTTGGTATGTCTACTAAAATGATATCGTTGCTCAAATGTGCTCGCTCAATACTTCGCCGTATAGCAACACTTACTCGATCAGAGATGAAAGGTAAACAAAGAGGAATTTTGTTGTTGCGTTGAAGCATCTCATGCGAGGTACCTGGCCTACGTACGTTGTGCATCGAGTAGCCATTCCCTCTATCGATGTCCAGCGCCAAATCTCGTGATTCCTTCCGTTCTGTCGAGAAACTCGACCGATAATTTCTATATTTTCTCTGCATTTTCTGTTTGATGATTCATTTCTGATTGCCTTTGAAAGCTGAGTGCGCGGCAAGCTCTTTCTTTGTACGCTGCAGCTGCGCCGAGAATCAAGTAAAAAGTAAGGGGGGCCGCAGCTGGCGACCTCCTCCTTTCGTTCTTGACTCAAGTCATTTGATTGTCATTGCTTCATCTTATTTGGTTGCCTTATATTTACTTACATTCTTAGTGCCTTTACTTGCTTATGGTTCAGGTAGACAAAAACATATCAAGTATTTTATCCCTAACGTTTGCCATAATCAGAATCTCATGTTAAGCTGGTATTTTATTTTGTGTGCATTATCGTTTATTTGAATTTTATAGTTGTTAATAAAGGTTTAATTACCCAAGTTTGAGGTATCTCCTCGAGCACAACTCCGTCATTCTAAAGACCCGCGTGGCAGTTGATATTTTGGTGTCTTTGTTTAGTGGTATTCGACGGTTATAGTACTGACTATATATAGAACCCGTCCATTTGTTACATGGTGCATCGACTACACGGATTCAGGTCGGTAAAGTACAACAATTGATTCGTTGTGGACATTCTGGAAATACACTAGAGCTTTTGCTGTATCCGCTCTAGTTTGCTGTCTTCAAATCTCGGAACAACACAAGAGTTTTTGCTTGATCCGCTCTTGGCACATCAATAGCGACAAATTGAAGAATTTTTCGCACAAGACTGATCGCACTCCACGAATATCATATCTACTGAAGTCAGAAAACTTCCCTTGTCTGTCCTGAAGCATTGTTGGTCACTGCAATTGATTATGGCTGCACATTTGATTACGGACAAACGCCTTTTAACTCACTATTGCAATAAGCTGGACACTATCATCTCAAGATTCAAGGGCGAGGAACTTGAGACCCTTAACGTAGCCGCAGCGCAAGGAGAATCAGCTTCTCAATACACAAGGGAAAGTCTCCAGCGACTAAGCGAAGCAATAGGAGCTTTAGATACAGTGACGCACAACATCAAACAAACAATGACGGAGTACGCTACGAAATTCACGGAGCTGGACTACCCGACGGAAAAGGACAAACAAGACTTTGAGGAATATTCAGCAAAAGCGGAAAAAGCGCTCATTTCGGCCACCGATTACTTACTGGTGCTGAAGGCAAGGGTTCACGCTTTCATTGTGGTAAAAGCACAGCCAGAACACAACCAACACAGTGGATCAGTCCAGGTACAAACGACATCACAGCCTTCGCATGAAAGATTGGACCTTCCCACACTTCCTGTACCCATATTTCAAGGAAACATATGGGAGTGGGACAATTTCTGGGAACTGTTCAACGAGAATGTCCATTCAAGAAATATACCGGAGTTGTGCAAATTCAATTATTTACTGCAAGCTCTTCGAGGAGATGCTCTCGCACTAATCAAGAAGTTCCAAGTCGCCAAAGGAAATTATTCAAAAGCCATCGAGTTTCTTCAACACAAGTACGGTGATCGCGACGAACTCGTCACGCATCTTATTGAAAAACTCGGGAAGTGCCACCTGCACTCGGCATCCATTCGTGACCAGCGAACACTCTTCGAGCAGCTGCAAGTCATCATCATGCAGCTGCGACAGAAAGAAGTACAAGTGGACAACCAGTGGATGTACCAGCAAGTTCTGACGAAATTCCCGGATACGGTACAGCGCAAAGTACTAGTACGCAAACAAGCCGCAAAGAACTCTGGAGTCAGCTTCAACCTCGACCTGCTTATACAGTATCTTGAGGAAGAAATCTCCACAGACGAAATGCTTGCGGTATACATGAAGAACACCAAGCCGGACCCAACACCTACTAAGCCGGAGAAAAGACGATCTGACCGAACAAAAACGTACTTAGGGACTTGCATGTATTGTGAGGGAAGCCACAAGTCAGCCGATTGCAAAAGATACAGTACTCCACAAGAACGCTCCAACTACCTACGCGAGAACAAGCTCTGTCTCATATGCGCCTCAGCACAGCATTCAACTGCTAACTGCAAGAAGAGAATGTGCTTCAGGTGTGGAGGACCACACCACACATCATGCTGTTTCAGAGGTGACACTACGGCAGACCAAGGAGCGTCAAGGAAGACAAGTCCACCGTTGAGCGAAGGGAAAAAACCCAAAGCCCGAGATACGGAACGAAACCCAACGCATAAAGAAACAAGAAAGGTAAACGCCCTCCATGAAGACAACTCCGAAACTGAAGCTGTGTCTGCACTGGATCTGCAACCAGTACACAAAACTAGAAGGTTGAGCAGAACTTTCCTTCCTGCAGGAATACTTACAGTGATGAATCCCTCGACGAAAACGTTGAAAAAGGTTGGAGTGCTTCTGGACAGCGGAGCAGAGGTGTCTTTCATTGAAAGCTCTTTGGCGGAAGAACTGGAACTTCCCACAATCGAGACTACAAGGCTCCCGATTCACACCTTTGGCACAGAAGAAGTGAAGGAAAATATATGCAGGCGCGTGCTCCTCCAAGGATGGGACTCAGAAGGACAAACTCTTGATCTGAAGCTCTTCACCCATGATGTACTGACCGCGCCACTAGACCGTGCTCCCTACAGAAAAGAAGACCTGGAATACATGAAAGCGCAGAACATTCCGAGGACAGATTGGCAGAACGACACAACAATACAACCAAGAATTTTATTAGGTTGCGATCAGTTATGGCCATTGATCAAGGAGAATCAGCCAAGCGTCTGCCTGCCATCAGGACTTTACCTACTGTCTACTCGTCTAGGGAACTTGGTCACAGGCACGGTCACAAGGCCCCAAGAAAAGTTACTTCAGGAAGACGAGACGGCAAAGTGGGAAGCTGCGTGCACAATGGATAGCAAAATCACAATACTAACGGTGCAGACGCCAACAACACAATCAGGCGAGGACGAAGATTCCTTTGAAAAGTATCTTGTCATGGAGTTCGCAGGAACGGAAGAATTCATGAGCTCCGAAAAAGTAGCGCAGGAAAAAATCGATCAGCAGGTTTGGAACCAATTCAAGGAAACCATCGAAAAAAGAGAAGATGGTTACTACGTGCGCTTACCATGGAAGTCAACACCATTTGAGCTCCCGGACAACAAGGCCATCGCACTGCGAAGACTAGAAAGCGTTTGGAACACTTTGCGGAAGGACGAAAAACTGCTGGAACAGTACAACGAAGTCTTCGAAGAACAACTCAAAGCAAACATACTGGAAGGAATACTAGAAGACTCCGTCGCTTTGGGAGAACACATTCATTATGTCCCCCACCAGGCAGTGATTACCCCGCAGAAAACGACTACAAAATTGCGGATCGTATTTGATGCTTCAGCGCACTACAAAACCTCACCCTCGCTGAATGATGTGTTGCACAGAGGGCCAGTCATACTTCCACAACTGTATGGCATCCTGTTACGTTTCCGAATAGGAAAAATCGCAATGATTTCGGACGTGGAAAAAGCATTTCTGCAAGTACGACTTCATGAAGCTGATAGAGATGCGACCAGATGCCTATGGCTACGGAACCACAGATCTCCACCTAACCCCGAAAATATCAAGACTCTCCGCTTCACACGTGTCACCTTCGGCCTCGTCACGTCACCCTTTTTACTAGCAGCGACGACACATTTTCACCTCGACCAATATCCCGAAGATCTGCCTCTTACAACGGAGATCAAAGAAAACATGTACGTCGATAATCTGATGATGACGGCTGACACCGAAGAAGAGGCGAATCATATTTACCAACGAACCAAAAGAATATTCAACGAGCTGAAGATGAATCTCCGTGAGTACGTGACCAACAATGTTAACATCGCATCAAAAATCGACACGAAAGACGCATCTTCGGAAATCAAGCCCAAAGTCCAGGGTATCAGGTGGAACTCCCGTGAAGACACCATAGATGTCTCATGTGCAATGGAAGATCATTCGGAGGTATCTAAAAGAAAGGTAGCCAGCATGATTGCTTCAGTCTACGACCCGATGGGATGGATGCTTCCTTTGATGCACAGAGCAAAGCTTTTCTTGCGAGAGCTATGGCAGATAAGTTGTGATTGGGATACGCCCTTGCCGCCCGAACTCTACAAAAAATGGAAGAAGATTTGTAAAGGCATGCATGGCTTTACAAAAACTCTGCCACGCTTCGTCTGCACAAGAATGACGGATGCTATTCTTATAACGTTCGCAGACGCAAGCGAGGAAGCTATCGCAGCATGCAGTTATCTACGGTTAGGATCCAATTCCACGCAACTTTTGATGGCAAAAGGGAAACTCCCTTCACTCAGAGGAAAATCGACTATACCGAAACGGGAATTGGATGCAGTGACGTTAGCGTTACGGATAACGAATTCAATCTTAACACAATTGCAATCAGTGCTACAAGTCAATCAAGTCCTCGTATTTTCTGACTCAGAGATCGTGCTAAGCTGGATAAGAAAGAACCCTTTGAAGGACGTTGGACCAGTGATATTCCGAAGGCTGCTTGAGATAAACAAGATTTTGAAGCATCTCAATGACCAGGGATACACAATTCATTTCCACTACGTCACGTCCGAAGATAATCCAGCAGACGCAGGCACAAGAGGACTAAATCTCGAAGAACTGCAAAACCACATGTGGTGGACAGGTCCGGAATTTCTCCAAAATCCACAGCAGCAATGGTCACAAAGCGATTGGCACGTCACAATGGAAAGCACCGTCAGGGACGGAGAGGAAGTCTCAGTGAAGGAAAAACAAGTTCTTGCAACTAGAACTGCCGAAGAGTGCCAAAGCGAGGGAGACACGGCAGTACTGTCATTGTTGCAGCGACGCACATGGCAGCAAACAAGGCGCATTGTAGCCTGGATCCTTCGCTTCGTCAGGAACGTTGTAGGACAGGCAAATACCAACAACCAGTCACCCATATTATTATCTACGCTACTTTCCGTACCGAGGAACGCCGTGGGAACAAGGCTAAACGGAAAGGAGATACTCATCGCAGGAAAGCTGCTCATAAGGCTTCATCAACAGCAAATAACCTCAAAAGTCATCAACTCCATGCAACGGCTGAATATCAAGAAAGATGCCGAAGGCCTTTTCCGATGTTATGGACGATTGGGAAACAGCGACCTAGATGTTGACGCCAAAATTCCGTTGATCATCCTACAAAACTCGATGTTGGCGGAAAGAATCATCGACGACTGCCACGGCAGAGGACATCTATCCGTAAGCCATACTATGGCGAACATACGTCGGCAGTATTGGATACCAAAACTGCGAGCACAGGTCACGCGGTTTGTGAGACGATGTGTACCATGCCAAAAGTTCAACAATCTGCCTTACAAGTATCCGGAGCAGACAGATCTTCCTGCGAGACGAGTGCAAAAATCTAGACCGTTTGAGCACGTCGGATTGGATTATTACGGACCCTTGCCAATTGCACTACCTGATGGAACAGATGGTAAATGTTACGGAAGCATAATCACGTGCATGACCACAAGATTAATCCATCTGGACATAGTTTCCGACATGTCGACAACAGCCTTCCTCTGGATGTTGCGGCGCTTCTTTGCAAGAAGAGGAGTTCCACGATCAATCACCAGTGATAACGCTCCCACGTTCATGCTAGGAGAAACTATACTCAGAGAAGCGATTCAAGCTGCCGAAAGCGATCCTGCTATTGAGCGTGAAGTACTCGACAAGGAAATTGAATGGCATTACAACACTCCATACGCACCGTGGCAAGGAGGCTTCTACGAACGTCTGATAAAGTCCGTAAAGCAAACACTGTACAAAACTCTGGGCAAATGCGTGCTAAGCTTCGAAGAGCTAACTACGGTTACCATTGAGATCGAAGCGATCCTGAACACGAGACCCCTGTTATACGTGGAATCAGAATTCGCAAACGAAAAGATATTAAGGCCGATTGACTTCTTACAAAATGAGATGAGGATATCCTATCCACTGGATGCGGTAAATGATGAAGGAGAGGATCCATCTTACTTGCCACCAGCAGAAAAAGCCTTGCTTCGTACAAAGGCTCAAGCAGTTCAAGCTTTGCAATCTTCCTGCAAACTGACCGAGAAATTTTGGCAGCTGTGGCGAAATCAATACTTGACGGCTCTCCGAGAGAAACATCAACGCCAAGTAGGAAGTCAAAGAAGTTCGAACTATACTCCGAAGGAAGGCGAAGTTGTCTTGCTGTGTGATCCAGTCCAGCCAAGACATTCCTGGAAAGTCGGACGAATAGAAGAACTTGTCAAAAACACCGAAGGAGTTATAAGGGAAGCTCTGGTGAAACTCCCATCTCAAAGAAAGATCCGCCGGCCTCTCAACCTTCTTGTACCACTAGAATTAGAAGAGGGGGAACAACAAGCGCAAGAACCCGCTACCGCGAGCACCGACAGTAACAATCAACTGGAGGAAGCACAGACCTCGCGATATGATCTGCGACCTAACCGGAGAGTGGATTACAAAGGAATAAACGCGATGTCCATACAAGTGAAACACTTCCAGACGAACATGCTCCTATTGATCTGTCTTCTGAGCGCACTTTGCGGAAACGCGAATGCTCTGGCAAAGGTACAAGCGAAGAAAACACATTCAATCAAATGCATTCCAGGAGGAGTTGAGTTGCTTTCCAAGGAAACTGTCCCATATGAGGTCTGTGCGGAAGACTATTGCAAATCAATTTCAGCGCCAAAGACAAATGAAACTATCCATTTTCCGCCACAAGTAACGCTCTATGAACAGTTTGTCCAGTGGAAACTTCTGTACAATGAAACGATCAGGATAATAGAAACTACCTGCCCGCCAACTCCGTTCTGCGACCAGATCGATTGCATACTCTGTTCAGCTGTCATTTTCAATCCTGAATGCTGGCCGGTTGGAGCGATCGTAGCGACTACAATAGCCATCTACTTCTTCATAACTGGATGCTACGTATTCTGCTATGTGCCGCTCACGCTCGGGAAGCCATGTCGGATCGCATTACGCCTTTTGTGGAACGGCATCAGGAGTATTGTTCGCAGTGGGTGCCGACCTTTACAACGAGCACGAAGACGACAGCAAATCCGAGCATCGGAACTTATAGAATTACTTGCTATTGTCGCCGTAATGAGCATGACAGTCGGTACAGCAGAAGGATGTCAATTAGTGAATCTCTTCTCGCACAAGTCTGCCGTGTGCACAAAGGCCAATGGAACCGAGATTTGCAAGATTCACGTATCGGAAGTCCTCAAAATCAACCCTTTCAAAAGAGAGGCATGTTTCAGGATAATAAAGAACAATTCGACTATCCATGAGGTTAGGGCATCGTGGAAACTGCTCAGTCTTGCCTGTGAACAAGAGCACGAAATGTACACTCGCGACACTGTCTACAATGTGGTGGACAGCAAAAGATGCCCGCACACAGGCTCCTGCGTAGGGAGCAAATGCGCGTCGATAAACGCCACAAGCCTCATACCGGAGCTAGAGAAAGGGAATCACTATCCAGGAATCACGGCCTGCGTCGAATCCTGTGGAGGACCAGGGTGCGATTGTTTCTATTGGAGTTCAGGCTGCCTTTTCTATCGCATCTACCTCACCCCAGTATCCCCACAAGTATTCGAAATTTTCCACTGCAATCGCTGGACGTTGGCAGCCAAAGTCAAGTTCACAGACTTTGATGCAATACAAGGAGTGACACGCATATTTACGGCAATCATGGTTCACAATGTACCCATCATCTGGAACGCGTTCACTCTCACACTAACCTCGGTAACCATCCCACCAATTCCGCTGCTAAACACGGCCTTCATCACCGATGGGAATAACACGGCACTTTGGAATTCCGTGATGAAACCACCTCTTTGGTGCACCAACAAAACTGCCGCAGAACAATTGGACTGCACAGTTGTAGACAACTGCCAATGTGCTCCAGCGGAAGTCCAAGCCAACTGCAAATGTCAAGACGTAAGCATCCCTGAGATGTTTGGGGACGTCAGAAATCGCCTACCGGCAATATTTCCAGCGGTTTCGTTCAAGCAAGATGACGAAGGACAAGTAAAAGCTGAGGTACAAAGCTTGACGACGGCGGAAATCATCGTAACCATCCAAGAAAATGTACGAACAAACGTGGTGGTGGATAGCACAGTCTGCACAATCGCGGATGCAATTCTAACAGGTTGCTACAAATGCGCTAGAGGTGCAAAAGCTACAATCAAGTGTACGGCACCAAAGCAAACTCAAGCCGAAATCATCTGCGAGTCTGCCAGTTTCACTGTGGACTGCGACCAACAAGGAGCGCTTTCGGAGCTTCAGTTCAGCCTAGATCGAGCGAGAGTGCAAATGACATGCTCAGTGTCTTGTGGAACAATTGTAACAATTTTTGAAGTAGGAAGCATTCTCAGATTCACACAAACAGCTCATGGAATGATGACACAATGGCTGTCTGGAAACGGAGACCAAGCGGCAGAAACTCAGTGGCCAGATTTTTGGCACATCGCGGAAGTCTTCCTGCAGTGGTACAAAACGCTGATAGTAGCAGTAATCGCGCTACTAATCGTTTTGGGAATCACCTACGCTTGTTTTTCACTGCAAGGAGTGTGTTGTGGATTCCGCTTTCTTAAAGGAATTGTGCTGCTCATACTACTGTTTTTTCGTCTCCTATGCCGACCTTTCTGCCTATTGCAGTCAGAAATCAAAGAAAAGCTTCATGAGAAACTCCTCTAAGATTTTGCGATATTATTCTCTGAAAAAGGCAACTTATCATCATCCTTCACCCGTTGATATCGTTCTACCGCCTCCACCACCGCCAGCTGAAACTGAGTCAGTCGATTTTAACGTCACCGAAACCATCGTTCTACCGAAGAGTTCTGTCAAACTGGATTTCTCAAGGAGATGGCTTCAAGACGATCTTATGTCGTTGGCTCATCAGCCACCGGTACCCATTATGATGATGCCAAAGCAGTGCTCAAATTACAACGACGTCTATGAGCATTCATTGGGCAGCTGCTCGGCCGAAATTGCTGCTCTTAACCTAGCCGAAAAAGAAGACGCTAGAAGCAGAATATGAGGACGAAGGCGAAGGAGACGATTGATGGAGAATAACGATCATCAAGCAGGCCCGGAGTGTCGAGAAACTCGACCGATAATTTCTATATTTTCTCTGCATTTTCTGTTTGATGATTCATTTTTGATTGCCTTTGAAAGCTGAGTGCGCGGCAAGCTCTTTCTTTGTACGCTGCAGCTGCGCCGAGAATCAAGTAAAAAGTAAGGGGGGCCGCAGCTGGCGACCTCCTCCTTTCGTTCTTGACTCAAGTCATTTGATTGTCATTGCTTCATCTTATTTGGTTGCCTTATATTTACTTACATTCTTAGTGCCTTTACTTGCTTATGGTTCAGGTAGACAAAAACATATCAAGTATTTTATCCCTAACGTTTGCCATAATCAGAATCTCATGTTAAGCTGGTATTTTATTTTGTGTGCATTATCGTTTATTTGAATTTTATAGTTGTTAATAAAGGTTTAATTACCCAAGTTTGAGGTATCTCCTCGAGCACAACTCCGTCATTCTAAAGACCCGCGTGGCAGTTGATATTTTGGTGTCTTTGTTTAGTGGTATTCGACGGTTATAGTACTGACTATATATAGAACCCGTCCATTTGTTACACGTTCCTTTTCTCCCGTGCAAACCTGTGTTGCAGTCCTGAACATATTGTGGATAACACCACGTTTGACGGCTAAAGGATGAGCAGAGCGGGCGTGCAACAAGATGTTTTTCGAGCTTGATTTACGATACCATTTTACAATCGCGTGAGATCCGGACAGTTTAAATTGCACGTTCAAATATGGGAGCCACCCGTCAGTCGGCTGTTCTCGTGTAAATCTTGGCCTGTAGTAATCCCCCCTACGTCGTAACGTACGAGGTCGCGAGATAAGCTCGAGCTTAGTTTCATTCCTCAATGCATTGATCGACTTGCCGGCTATCCTTCAACACACTCGTCGAATCACGTCAAGAACAGCTCGTGAACTAAGCTCGAGCTAAAGCTCGTGACCTTAGACACGACATATCTCACGAGCTAGTTCACGAGCTCCACTTTTTGCTGAGATAGTGCGCAATGGTGAGAGACGCAGAAAAATGGCACGAGACTAGAGCTCGAGTACGCCAAGTTCACGACCTGATAATCGTGCCAGGACCCGACTACAGTAACACTCAGCAAGACGCTAATCCCATTTCTGCTTTACAGCATCTTCAAAGCTTTTACTCTTCCGTTCTTATTGATGACGGTTTTCAAATTGGATTGAAATGTTTCACTGTAGTTTAGTAAAATTTTCTAAGAGCTGCGTCCATAAAGTTCGTCTTGTATCTCTCTGTTTCGCGTAAAACAGTGAAAACATATGTCTATCTTTGTCATTTCAGCGTGTTTTGACTCTTTCTTCTATTTTATACGAGAGATCAATTTTCTTTTTTTTGTTTTCACGTAAGATTCTTCTCTAGTAATTTGCCGTTTTAGGCGACATCACACAAAAGGTTATGAGAAAAAACGAAATCTGATCCTTGCGAAGTTCAGTGAAGGCTGTAATGCAGGTGTGTGCGATCCATCTTCGTTCGCTTTTTACTACTTGATAGTATAGTCATGTCCGTCCATGAGTTCAGCTTTATATCCGCTAAGGCTGCTGGTGGTGGATTTAGCACAGCACTTGTCACGTTCGTGGGGAGCTTATGGGATTCGTTGTGTTGGCGCAAATTTGAATCGCGCGGTGTGGGGCATATCGGGCTAATCAGCACGGATAGATTGTTTTGTATGCCAATTAGAGCTCGATACATGCTTTTTCGCTCGCTTATGGAAGTTTCTTACGAACTGTTAACTCTTGCCAAGTAGTTATCGAGCTTTGTGCAAGTCCAGAACTGAGCAAACCCTTGGAAAGTTGGATAATCAGTGCTTAAGAACTTCTTGCTTGTGATTCTGTAATCATTCTATTGCGTACAAGCTTTCTTTTGATGTTCGCGCTTGGTATGTCTACTAAAATGATATCGTTGCTCAAATGTGCTCGCTCAATACTTCGCCGTATAGCAACACTTACTCGATCAGAGATGAAAGGTAAACAAAGAGGAATTTTGTTGTTGCGTTGAAGCATCTCATGCGAGGTACCTGGCCTACGTACGTTATGCATCAAGTAGCCATTCCTTCTATCGATGTCCAGCGCCAAATCTCGTGATTCCTTCCGTTCCTTTTCTCCCGTGCAAACCTGTGTTGCAGTCCTGAACATATTGTGGATAACACCACGTTTGACGGCTAAAGGATGAGCAGAGCGGGCGTGCAACAAGATGTTTTTCGAGCTTGATTTACGATACCATTTTACAATCGCGTGAGATCCGGACAGTTTAAATTGCACGTTCAAATATGGGAGCTACCCGTCAGTCGGCTGTTCTCGTGTAAATCTTGGCCTGTAGTAATCCCCCCTACGTCGTAACGTACGAGGTCGCGAGATAAGCTCGAGCTTGGTTACATTCCTCAATGCATTGATCGACTTGCCGGCTATCCTTCAACACACTCGTCGAATCACGTCAAGAACAGCTCGTGAACTAAGCTCGAGCTAAAGCTCGTGACCTTAGACACGACATATCTCACGAGCTAGTTCACGAGCTCCACTTTTTGCTGAGATAGTGCGCAATGGTGAGAGACGCAGAAAAATGGCACGAGACTAGAGCTCGAGTACGCCAAGTTCACGACCTGATAATCGTGCCAGGACCCGACTACAGTAACACTCAGCAAGACGCTAATCCCATTTCTGCTTTACAGCATCTTCAAAGCTTTTACTCTTCCGTTCTTATTGATGACGGTTTTCAAATTGGATTGAAATGTTTCACTGTAGTTTAGTAAAATTTTCTAAGAGCTGCGTCCATAAAGTTCGTCTTGTATCTCTCTGTTTCGCGTAAAACAGTGAAAACATATGTCTATCTTTGTCATTTCAGCGTGTTTTGACTCTTTCTTCTATTTTATACGAGAGATCAATTTTCTTTTTTTTGTTTTCACGTAAGATTCTTCTCTAGTAATTTGCCGTTTTAGGCGACATCACACAAAAGGTTATGAGAAAAAACGAAATCTGATCCTTGCGAAGTTCAGTGAAGGCTGTAATGCAGGTGTGTGCGATCCATCTTCGTTCGCTTTTTACTACTTGATAGTATAGTCATGTCCGTCCATGAGTTCAGCTTTATATCCGCTAAGGCTGCTGGTGGTGGATTTAGCACAGCACTTGTCACGTTCGTGGGGAGCTTATGGGATTCGTTGTGTTGGCGCAAATTTGAATCGCGCGGTGTGGGGCATATCGGGCTAATCAGCACGGATAGATTGTTTTGTATGCCAATTAGAGCTCGATACATGCTTTTTCGCTCGCTTATGGAAGTTTCTTACGAACTGTTAACTCTTGCCAAGTAGTTATCGAGCTTTGTGCAAGTCCAGAACTGAGCAAACCCTTGGAAAGTTGGATAATCAGTGCTTAAGAACTTCTTGCTTGTGATTCTGTAATCATGTTGAGCTTTGTTACTTATATTTTCCTCTCCTGATGAGGTTTTCTTTCTCCTTTTTCTGGTTTTCTCTCCCTTCCTGTTCAGTTTGTTTGGTCGCGACGGTTTTCTCTTATCTGTGAATGAAAAATGCGAAATTGCCTTTTTGCTCTGGTAAGACCTGTTTCAAATGAATCTCAGTGGCACCTACAGTCCATCAAACGTAGCAAATTCACTTTCAATTACTTGATTGCAAGAATGCATTCATCTCAAGAACCCGTTTGATGTCAGTCATAAAGTAACACTTTTTAGGTCCAGGCCAGTCCAAAGGAAGCCCTGCACTCGAGCACATCGTCAACATCAGCGGCGCCTTACTCGCGATGAGGGCAGGTTTCATTCGGGTGGGTGAGTTTTCATGATTTGTAGGTGCATTTCTCGAGAACTTCCCTTTTTTTCCGACAACTTGTTGTTAGCTAAAGCGAAAATTGCAAAATTGATTTGCGCCCGTTGTTCTATGGAACTACCTTTCCCCTGTTATTTGTGTTACTTTTGTACAATACCGGAAATTTTGCTTTGGTTTCTGCTTCTTTAACATTTTATCATCTTGGACTATAAGGTGGAGGAGGTGGCTCATGAATTTCGTTTGCACCTAGACGAGTTATGTGAATCATTCAGGTTTGCTCAAAGAAGTTGATTTGTGACTGGTCTTTCAGGATCGGACGTCACTTCCTGGCTTCCTTGATAGTTTACTTTCTCGAATTGGTATTTTTGAGTGTGATGCGAAAACAAAGAAAATCTTCGAGGAACCAGATTTTTTTACTGCGCCCTATTCCAGGATAGGCGGAGACAGTGAGTCAAAGCAACGCTTATCTACACTTCATTCACTTTCAATATTAGTGGATTACCTTTTGCAAGTTTGGAAACAGGAGTCGGCCAGATATCCTCTTTTCGCATTAGGAGCGATCTCAAATGGTGTATGATTTGCTTACTCGAGCTCATTACGACAGTCCACATTTGCGTCAAGAGTGCGCAATCACTATCGATTTGGAATCGAACGATTGATCGCTCAGGGTGTTTATAGTGCTGCATACGCTCGCGTCAGGTATGGCCCTCTTTATACATAATATCTTTGATTCTTTGATATCGAAGTTCACAGGCGCTAAGAGATGACGGCAGAGAGATGAGTAAAGGGCATGAATGCTCTTAAAAGGGCTGCTCAATAATTATTGGGTCAGCTATACAAATGTACTAAAATTCCCAACCTCTTGACTGCATCAAGTTAGTTACTTTTGAATTCAGTCATATTTGTAGATCGATCATGTGTTAGCCTACGAAGAAGGTATCAGTGGTAGCGATACTAGCGATTTTCCATTTTATGCTGAAGAAAATATAGATGAAGACGAAGATGTGAGTGTATACTCATCGAAAATCATATTTCTTTGGAATCGCATTCTGCAAAAAATTCTTTTCTTGTAGGACAAGGGTACGCAACAGTCTGCCTTTAGTGAGATAGAGAAAAAACAGAATAGGTGATACTATTTCGAGAAGAACTTACAGAAGATGGGGTTGAAAATTGAACGACGTTCGATCTCACCTTTGGTATGTTCTGTTATCTGCTTTTTTTCCTTTCTGAGATATGGAACCGGTCATACTATTCCTGTGATTCCTGCAATTCCTGCCATTCCTGAGATTCCTGCGAGTTTCGCAACAATGTATATTGCGAAAAAAACCATTGTATGTTGAACTTCACAAAGTGCTCCATAGTGCGGCACATCGGAAATCGATGAATGAAGGAATCGCAGGAATCACTTCCTGGAATAGTAAGGCCGGTCCCGAACTTATAAATCGAAGAGAACCCTACGAATTTCTAACAATCGATAAACATATAAAGTGCAATGACTTCCTGACCTCTGTAGCGTGTGGATCGATTTGATATTAGCTCCAGTGCAGAATCACCGTGCCGAGTCTTAGTGGTAAAATCCTTGTAGCCTCACATCCATTTCTCACACGTTTGGTGAATGCGTTAAGTAAAGGTTGATCGCTGCGCAGGCAGTCGGATCATGGCAATGTGGTGCGAAACGCCACCTTCGTGCATTTTCATCCTTGCAGTTCATACTCCCGCGCGCCTTGCTTGATGGTCGCCCCTTTCATTAGCAACTAGCTTCCACTCTACTTCCTTCATTGGCTTTTACAAATATCAAACAGCTTTTTCTTTCGGAAAGAAGGATCTTGAATGCATGTGATACCTACAGCAAATCAATTCTTCCATTAATAGTTAAGGTGGTCTTTTGAAGCGAACTGGACGCTCATCACACGCTATCCATTCTCGCTTGCGTTTCTTGTCGCAAGAGGAGCTGTGAAGCACGCTGGGTTGAAAGAGATAAGAATGATCAACCCAATTTTGGAATGTCTTTGTTTCCTGGAACATTTTGTAATAAGCTGTTTCGAAATTTCACTGCTTTGTTTTCTAGAAGTTCGGAGCTGTGGCTGCTGGCGTTGCCGCTGTCGGTGGAGGTTTAATTTATGCACTGGGGCTCGGTCCATGCTAGCAATAATTTCCATCCATTTCCGCTGTCGGGCCACATAGCGAACTTCAGATCTTTCGATATTGCTTGGGAGTCCCATATGCATTGTACCACTATCATATTTTTTGGTTTTTAACTTAGATTTCCTATTCTTCCATTCTTCGTAGTCATGTTAGGCACAATATTTGATCCACTTGATCCACTTGATACACTTTGTGGAACGCCTCGTAAGTAATCTGTCATTTATTGTCGTTTAGAGAAAAAAATTGCATCTTCACGCAAATTGCTGTACGCGATCGCATATGACAAATTACTCACGGCATTATAACGAAGTGGATCATACGGATCAAGTGGGCAACTATGGCATGTGCCTTGAAATTTATCTTCAGAGCAGAGCAAGAAAATGTTCAAGAAACATTAGCGTAGGCCTTTGGACCTGCAGATTATTCGGATAGGTAGTGCACGCAAGTTGCATGTTGACGTAACTTTTGTTTCAACTGGCTTGTTCTGGAAGGCGGGGCTTTGTGAACTAATTAAGCCGCTCGCACCCGCGACGCATCTGCGTCTCTCTCGCGCGAGTGCTCTCTGATCATTACCTAGCCTTAATTAGGTCACGAAGCCACGCCTTCCAGAAGCCTAGCCAGTTGAATCAAGCGGTAGGCTCCGATCTCCCATCTCGATCTCCAGCAAAGTTTTGGACGAATTGTTTTAATCACTTTTTGACCCATCTCTAAAATAGCAATACTCAAACACAAGTTCCTGCATTTCGTGCGCTATTGAATTGATTATTCAAGCCAAGCATTCGAAGCAGCTACAGCGCGTTGTAGTCTCAGACTACGCCGCGGATACGAGCGGTCGCCTTCCAGCCGCCAATCCTGCTGAATCAAAATGTAGTCTGTGCTAGAGTGGGAGTGGAAGACTATAAACTGAGCAAGATTGTGCGCACTTTATTATAGATAGATCAACTGTTTGAAGGCATTGTGTGCTTATTTTGTACGCAATAGGATAGAGTACGCAAAAACTTTTGCTCCATTTGGTTGTGGCAGAATCTATATTTACCGGTTGCAACTTGCGGTTCTGGTTTCTTTTGAATATTTTTAGTTTTTCTCATCTTTACAAGCGACATCAGTATCCCATTGAAGGGAAGCAACGCTTGTAACGAAAAGCGAAAATAATAAGCGAAAATAGCTGAGAACAAAACCTTCAATAGAACCAGTTCCTGAAGTTTATGCTTGGGAATGATGCCTGCGCATGCGATGTTTATCTATCTATGCGTGTAAGCCAAGTTGCTTTTGAAAAGTGTGTATGATATGAGGCTTCTGGAATTTTAATGCCACGCGAAGATGAACCCCTGTTCACTCCACCACAACATCGACCACGTGCAGGCTCTCTCTCCTCTCTCTCTCTCTTTTTCTTCCTTCCATTCCCTCTTTCTTTCTTTCTTTCTTTCTTTCTCTCTCCTTCTCTCTTCTTTCTTTTTTTCTCTTTCTCTCTCTTTCTCTCTTCTAAGAAGGAGGAAGATTGGCATAGGCACCCCGGCTTTGGGCAGTCTAATATCTGCTTTGAGGACTCAGAACAGGAGTGAATGTTTTGATTTAGATCATTGTCCGGTACGGTCAACAGTCCAGTAAGGAAGACCAATTTCGAACGGAAGGAGAACAGAGAAGAGTACAGAGAATGAGAGGAAAGAGGAAAACAGAAGCGAGACAGGTGTGCTTTGTTAGTTTTTCGTTGTCTGCTCATTACATGGTTTTTCTTTAAATGAAAATAACCACATGAACAAAATCTATCTTGTCTTCCCTTGCGGTGGCACTATGACCTCAGTGACATATCATGTACACTTAACGTTTTAAACGTTTTAAGCGTTTGAACCTATCAGCTTGAATTTTCGAGCTAGTTCAGCTATTTCGCAACATTTCAGTTTGTACAGTTTCTCGCTAGGATGCAGCCGAATTCGACAGCAGCTAAGGGAGCTGTTAAGAGAGGTGTTGTTTTGGTTCTAGACGAGCCACCACAGAAGCGTATGCGAATGAAGATCTCGAGTTATAACAACATCAACTCCCTAGGAAGTAAGTTGCATACATATCATTGTGAGAGTTTTTTTTAGCTGTTGTACATGTAAAAGAAAGCAGTCAGAGCTAAGGTTCAAACCGTAATGAATGTTTTATCGGCAGCTGCTTACTGCGTGTGCATCGTCTCAATCTTTAACATGTTAGATCATGAAATGCTAAGGGTTTGGAATTTCTTGTTGATGACGTGGGAGAAGATAAGCTATAAGGCGGATTTCAACAGTCATTTGGAGAAACCATCTTTCTTCGTTTAATCGTATCGCTTTGACGTCGGATTTTTCCGAGCTACTATTGCATTCTATAGGCATTTACTTATAAGGAAACAAACCTCACCGTGCCGCTTAAGTCAGACTTATTTCTCCTCTCATTTGGGATACGCTTCTTCATTTTGGCTGCTTTGCCTAACCTATTCCCAGTTCCATTGCGTATCTTTTCTTTTCTCCAACACTTTTCATCTTTTCATTCTTACAACCGTCTTTCTTTCCAGATTTGTCGAGTATTTGATCCGACTCTCTTAACTTCAACTCCCGAAAAGGACTAACTTTACGATCTACGGTTTTTAAGGTGTGTTCTAATGACTTTTACTACTAAATAATAATAGTAATTGTTATTAGTTATTTGCGTAATCGTTGAAGTCCCTAACAGTGTCCAAATTTGTGTGCAGTCATCCTCATCAGTTAACGAGCGCCCGGGTGTACCTCCCACACAGGTGCGTTCATTTTTTTTGTCTCGGAAGGTGCCCCATTAGCATGTTAGGAGTTTGTAGCTTTTCCTGCTATTCTCAATTCGGCAGTCACTGGCATCACGTTTTTCTCAAGGTTTATGTTTACATGCTATCTATCATGCTAGCTTGACAACCTCAGTAACAGTTGCAGCCGACCTATAGCCGTTTCCAAAGCCAAAATTCTTGAGTCATTCTTGTTTATTGGAAAATCAAGTACTTGCAAGATTTTTTGATGTAGGAAAGGTGTGAAGTTTCATGTAAACCAAATATTTAGGTTGATAGATAGGTCTTAGTATGTTTCCATCTCGAGAAATTTCATTATCAAAATGTCGATATAGGGTATTTCTTCTTCTTTCCAAAGCGATTGTCTTTGTACAACAAGCACCTTCCACTATGGGAACTTTTGCCTTACACTATGGCAGCTTTCGACTTACGAGGAAGGTACTTTCAATGGACGCGGTCTTTTGATATGAGATGCATATCATCTGAAGCAGCTTTGAACTTCTGACCAGTCTAATTGTCAGTCACTGCAGTCACTTACTCTAATACCCTTGGCAAATGCGATCTAAGGGAAAAAATTTCTGGCGTAACTGCTTGTAATGAGGCCCTGAAACTCTATCTGACTTCGTTACCAGTAAAACAAGAATGAACATGGTGAAGCATGTTCACATATAAATTTTAAGGAATGCGCACTATGTAATCGAGATATTCTCTCCTGCCTTTAATTTAATGGGTACTTGCGAGCATGAAAATTGCGCGGAGTTTTCTTTATACGCTATTCCCGTGGTGAGAAATGTCTGTGTTTTGCCCATTGTAATTTCGCTTCACCTTTGTACATATTTTTTTCGGAGAAAACCAAATCTCAAAACAAGCGGTTTGCCAGAAAATTTTATCCTTATCACATTTGCTAAGAGTATTACAGTAAGTGACTGCAGACGAATTAGAGTGGTTTCTACTCCGACTTCCGTTGCGTACCAGCGGCGTTCGATGCTCGTCTGAGCGGAACACGCAAACGCCGCTGGTAGGGCAGTCGCACGCCGCTCGTACGCTGTGAAACTCCGCTGGGAGGAGAATGGTACGCCGCTGGTACGCCAAGAGGGTACGCCTTCGGACCGGATGTTCACCCGATTTTTGATTAGTGTACTAATTGCAGCACTAGTTGGTTTGAAAATTGCTTCATCGTCATATTTTATGAAGCCGAAATTAGCTCAAAATTTCCTGTTATTTCGATCGATGGACTTCATTGAATCGAAATCAAGAGATTATGAGCCACCCTTACAACACCCAGCTGAGATGCTATCAGGTCACTCAATAAGAACAACAACTCAATCTTATTCCTTTGTCAAGTACCGAGAAGTGTTAGCTAACCACTAAAATGCTGCGGCGGCCCAACCACTGCGTCGTATCCCATGCGGGTACGGCTAACGCTTACAGCGTGGGGTAATGTGATGGGACGCCGCTCGCTTGCTTGGGTTGATGGAACGCGCCGCTCGCCAAAAGAGGTGCGCCGCTGGTAGGGCGCATTAGGGAACGCCGTTGGTACGCTAAGCGCACGCCCGTGGTACGCAAAGCCATTAGGTACGCCGGTGGTACGCAACGAAAGTCTGAGTAACTCAGTTTCAAAGTGCCAAATGTTTCGCTCTGCATTGGATTCGAACCATCACCTTTCGTCCCCAATGCCAACAACTAACCATTACAGGACAGCACCACAGAGGCGCATAACAGCGCTCTCAAACTCAAAGAGCGCCCTCAATATAGGATTTTCAGGCTTCCATAACTCTCTTCAAAAAAGCGCTCCGCAGAAACGGAAAGCAGATTTGAAATCAGCGTTCAAAGCTGCTTCAGATGGGATGCATCTCATAATAAAAGACCACGGCCACTGAAAGTACTTCCCTTGTTAAACCCATATGCACGTACATCCCCGCTGGAGAGGGGAGAGCATCTGAGAGGTCCCATCTCATTCTTACATCTTACCCAATCTTACATGAAGATGCTTCATGAATTGAGGTTTCAAAGCCACGAAAATGAGAAGGGCATACAGATAGGGAACCTCCGCGAAGCGGAGGTGACGCACTGGTAAATACCAATAAAATGTTTGAATCTTTAGTGTACTGAAAAAGATTGCATGATGGAAGGAAGATCGGTCTGCAGTGACATTATCATAGAAGAAGTTCTGAAGAGAAGGGGGATCCTTCTTGATTTAAACGAAGCGAGGAACCCTGAGGCAAACAGGCGAAAATCAAAAGCTTGGAAAGAAATTCAGGATCTTGTTTTTGTGCAGTGTAAAAGGATGCTCACGATAGAGCAAGTAAAGAGAATTTGGCGCAATCGCAAGGCGCATGTGCGGGAAGCGATTCTAAAAGAAAAAAGGTGAATGGACGTGCTAACTTATTGAGCATGATTACAGCGTACAGTTTTAGATATAGAAGCAGCACAGGAGGCGGATTGGACCCCGTTCTAGAAAAATCAATCTCAACTACTCTTTCTTCGTTAAGCCAAGCGGAGACATTGCTGGCGAGGACGCTGGGGAGGGAAGCCGTAATGGCTGGGCTGGGAAACATGGAGACCTATGTGGATAAAGTATAGATTTGCTTTGCTGTGAGTTTAGTGTGATAATGTGCATATTCAGGTAAAGGGTGGTGGATATCGAGGGGAGATGCAGGGGGAATGCGAGGGAGGGGAATCTAACTTTAACATGCGTAAGGTATGGATCTATCGATGACATGACATGCTTACAATATATGCTCACACTATTTAGAAACAGTCACACCGATACTGCGACAAAGATAATTTTGGCGATAACGTGGTCTGCGGCGATCAATGGAGGGAAGCAAGGGGTGATGCAGGCAGGAAGGAGGACGGAGGGTGGGTGGGAAATGATAACCGACACGATTTGCAAAAAAGGAAGGACATACGAAAGGTAATCATGATGCGAAGTGCCAACAAGCTTAGTATAACTAAACTTTTCAGATACGACAGTCGGAGCAGAGCGGAAGCGATTTTTACCCGTCTGACATCGAGGGATCGAAAGGACGGAGGGTTGGAGGGAGGGATAGTGCGGGCAGAAGGGATGAGGAGGAGGGCTGGGAGGGAATTCCTCTTCTCCGGAGGTTATAGCCGACGCTGATTTCAGAGCTATCAGACTCAAGCGGGTACAAGAGCAACTCAATGACGTATGTATTAGCATCAGTTAGATTATCACTATAGATTTTATTCTAGTTTGATTCCGATGTATCGTCAATATCGCCACCGAAACGTCGCAAATATACGGATAGGGAAGTTAATAAGTTTCAAATGGAGGTTCTAAAAGTGGGTTCGTTTTGAACATGAAGGCTGCAAAAGATTTTTCATTTTAGGAAGAAAGAGCACTGATAGCCAAAAAATCACTTCTTTTGGATAAGCAACTAGAACTGCTTGGCGAAATGAAAGAAATGATCAGTGAAACCCTGCAAATCTTACGTGGAAAAAGGGAAGTGAAGAAATCAACAAAGCAAATAGAGCCTTGGAATCCCTTAGATGGGGATCCCAACATAGCTGAATCCGTAGAATCCACAGATCTTTAAGTATCATACGCTTACTCTTGTTGTTCGTCACATGCTATTGTTGTTAATTTTTTCTGATAAAGATATTGAGTAGAAAATTTTAAGTTCAACAGTTGCAATAGTTTAACAAGCACACAATACCCTTTATGACAGCAACAAAAATAAAATAAACATACAGAACATGCTTACAAAAAAAAACTACATACAACTGACAAGGTAGGCACGAATGTCCGCGCAGTCTTCTGGCGGATGACGGAGAACTGAGAGCCTGCGGCCAAGTCTCCTCGGACGCAGACATCCCCTAGCCATCATCATGTTGTGAAGAACTGCGCAAGCTATGATGATTTGAGCTGCACGCTCGGGAGCCACACGGACCGTATCCTTTAGGATAGCGAACTTCCGCTTCCAGATACCGAAGGTGCACTCGACGATGACTCGCATCTTCGAGTGCCATCGGTTGTAGGAGATCTCCTGCCTGGATGTCGGATTTTCAATGGGTGTAATAACATCATTCCCATTAGCGAATCCGGAATCTCCAAGGAAGCTGTAGCCATGCGGAACTGCGTCTTCTTCGTAGGCATATTTGACCTGCGAAGCGGCGAAGACGCTGGCATCGTGGACAGACCCTGGAAAGTTCGCATTTATGTACGTAAACCGTCCGTGGGCGTCGACAGCAGCCAGCACATTCAGGGCTGTAAAGCCCTTGCGGCAGTAGTACTGCCACCCAGAATGTGCGGGCTTCTGTATCCGTATGCAGCTGCCGTCGACGGCGCCGATGATGTTCGGGAAAGGCCCTGTTCGGGCGAAGGCGGCGGCGCTCGTACGACAAAACTCCTCATCCCCTAATCGGCAGCGGATGAAGTGCCGCACGATTAGGGGGTTGTTCAGTGCTCTGACGACTGCTCGCACCGCATTGGAGACCGTCTTCTGGCTGACACCGATGGTGTCAGCCAGAACTTCCTGGTGGGCGTTAGTCGCCAGGTACCGCAAAGCGATCACCACCTAAATAAGTCAGATTATGTGCTCGCATAATTATGAGTATTGGCCTTATGGCGTGATGCAGTGAAGATTTCCTGAAAAAAAGAATTTTTTTTAGCATTAGATGGTAAATCAGTATAGAAATGATCAAGCATGCAAGTGTTCCTATTTCTTTTTTCAGAGGAAACTTAACAAAATATTTTCTGACCGCTTTTTTAGAGGAAAGTTGTCAAATAGGGAGGAATACTAAGTCGCTGCGGCGATCTGGAATGAAATACATATCACTAGATGCGTCTTGATGATAGAGTGGAAGCGAAATCTAGCATTCCTATCTGCTGAGCGGTCTCTTTTCAAATTCCGCAAATTGCACGCCACTGCTTCAGAAATCGGTTGGTCAGAGAACGTTGGTTTTCAGTGTACACACTTCTCAGTCAATTAATACACTTGATTTTGATTCTTTGATTTTTGCATTTAAATTCTTTCCGAGAATCGTTCAGGAGATATGGAAGGTAGATTTGCCAGCTCATCAGGAGCGCATCTGATAATGTGCATGACAATGCAGTTCGGCACTGCGTTTTTTTGGGATCCTCTTTTATTGACCTGTTTCAGATAAATGAAAGAAACAGAAGCCTGCCACTCTGGGTCTACATTCTAGAAAACTTTTTTTATTCGGTTATAGTAACGAGGAGTATTCTTAGATTAGAATTAATAGCGACAGGGAGAAGCGGAAGCGATGAGCATGCAAGCAATTTGTTTGAATGCCTTTTTAGCTGAGAGTGCTTTGCCCCTATTCGCTATCTTTTTTACGCAATCATTTAACAAAATGCAGTGTGACTGACTTACAAATAAGAACTGATTATAAGCACATTCCGATAATTAGTCGATTGTTGTTTCGATTTGGAAATTTTAAACTTAGAGGAAGGTAGGCGTTGCAGGCAAGGTCTTTCAAAAAACTTGGAGGTCTGTCGTTACTGAATCTTGAGGAGATGGCAGAAACCGAAAGTACGAATTAATCCAATAAAGAGTGGCTGAGAGTGTTGTCTTCGAAAAGTCTTAGATTCAAAGTGTTAGGAGTGCACTAACGAATTTTGTGAGAAGCTTTGCTATAGGTCATGTTGGCAACTAAGTTTTGCAACTTTCCAACTCCTTGCTCTTTACGAATGTGGACGCAGTCAATTTTCGGCATGAAATATCAGGTGGGTCCGAAAGTTCTTGCCTTTTTTCAGACTTATTCTAAAATCGTTCAAAATAAAGACAGACGAATTGTTCAAACAGAATCCGATGCAGAATTTCTTCCTCTTTCCAGCAGCTATGTTTTCGAAATGGCTGTATCGACGAACGCTGAAATAATTGTTGAAAACTAAAACTCTTCATTTCTGCCATGTCTAAGTTTCACTAATTTTTGGAACTTTCATTTTAGGCTCCTGATGGTGCTTTAATAACCATCTGATAGGGCTTTTTCAAAATAATGCAATTTTTTGCATGTCTCTGGAATGCGTTCTGGAATTACTGAAAAATTTTTTGAACTGAACAAATTTTGTATTTGGCTTATTCTAATCTCTCAAAACATCAGACATTGAACAGTTTAGGTACCATTCGGTGCATCGTTTTCTCCTCTTTCTGAGGGCTACCTTTTCTTCGCGAAATTTGCCACTTTTGCAGACGTAATTGCTGTACTTTTCAATTTTACGTGTGCGTGTAGTCGAAATTTTAGAATCTGTCCGATTTCACGCCGTAGAAGTTTTAGAACTTCAATATTCTGAGGAATTCGCAGTGTTTGGTGCAATCTTGTATCGTGCGACTTTTTCAAAATTTTATGCTCTAGATAATTCAGCAAAATTCTAAAGAGGAAGCTGAGAAAGAGCCAAAAATTGCGTTAATTTGAGAAAGGTTTGCCCTATCAGATGGTTATTAGAGCACCTTCAAAAGCCTAAAATGAATGTTCTAAAAATTAGCGAAACTTAGACATGGTAAAAATCAAGGATTCTAGTTTTCGGCAATTATCTCGGCGCCAGTCGAAGCAACTACAAAGTAAACACAGCTGCTGAAAGATGAAGTTTGCATCGGATGCTGTTTAAACGATTTGTCAGGTCAGAAAAAAGGCACGAACTTTCGGACCCACCTAATAGATCCCATAACGCATTAGGTTGTCCCGAAAGTTCTATCGCTTCATTTTGAAAAATTTTAACTTGGGGATATTTTGACGTATTTGCTTCTTTGTTATTTTTTTAGAAAGATCAAGTTTTTTTGTTAACACTATCTTAGAGAGTTTTCAATAATTTCTGATTGCAGAGATGAAATTGGAAAAAGAAGGCCATATAAAATGGAAAAAAGCCCATATAAGCCTTGATCATTTTGAGTTGGATCGCCAAGAATCTGAAATGCTGCAGGAAGTCTGAATTCCTTTGTACATGAGTTTATCGACGTACTCTTTACAGCTGAAAAAAGTTAATATTTGTAAAAAGTTATGATTTTCAAAAAAGTCCCAAATTGATTAGATTGGTGTTTTCTGCAGTAATCGAGGTTCAACATTCTTACAGAGATGACAAAAACAGCACAAACTCTTATCGTTTGGAAAAAGCAGATACTAAAACTTAAAGTACTAAAAAATTTTCCTCTGCAACGTCTCAGTCCACTGGTAAACTAACTTTTAATGGTTCTTCCATGTATATCTCTGCAGTCAGAGCCTATTAAAAACTCTAAGATAATTTCGAAGCAAAAGACTCTTTCTTTCTAACAAAACTAAAGAGAGGCAAATCCGATGAGATATCGAAAAGTTACAAATTCTCAAAAATGAAACAACAGAATGTTTGGGAAGACCCAATATTATGAATTGAGCTAGAAGTATGTATAAACTCACTTTCGTTAAGAAACTAGAAATCAGGATTGCATTTTAAAAACTGGTAAAAGGAAGAAAGGAAAAAAAGAAAAAAAGAAACATCTAGGAAGGGTTAGCTGTGACAAAGAATCAGTGAGATGGAACAGAAAGTGTTGTCTTAGTGTGACAAGATTTTGACAATCCACTAGAAAAGAAATGGAAATTCAAAACTGATACATTCGAATAAAACTTATTCATTGACGCTGCTTCGGAAATTCGTCAACATGAATAGTCAGAATGTCGACATCTGCGGAAAATTTGCAGTGTGAGTTAATGACTTGCAGGACGCTATCAGATCTATTTTCATTGTTTGAAAAAAAGGATTCTAACTTTGCATGAAAGTGAAAGGATTATCAATTCCGTAAGCAGAATGTTTTTTTAGCCAAAGGTTGAAACAACTCTGCAATAATCTATAACTTTGACCGCACATAGATTGCTTGACATTTACTTGCTGAAATTACATGACGATGTTGGGCAGGCTGTGACTGTAATTGCAGCTCGCAACATAATTTACATGATGCCAGAGAGTAAGTGTGTTAGATAAGAAAGAATGGAATAGTTGCAAAACTCAATCACCAGCTTAAGTGAATGGAGTGACAAGTGAATAAAACACCGTACTGATTTAGGTTCGGCAAGTGAGCCATCGGCAGAATGTACACAAACACAAAAATTCTCACAAAGTTGGGATCGATATTCAAAAGAACAAAGTTGGAAACACTAAGACTCCAGTTTCAATTACAAAAAAAATCTTACCTTGTCCTCCACAGCCACGGACCAGTTCCGTGTCTGGCGGTCCCCAATAAGCGGTGCGAGCGGTCGACATATCTTCCTCAGGTGCACCTCCTGCATCCGGAATTTTCGCGCCAACATCCGCTGGTTTTGATGGAACAGGCGAATTGGATGCAGACGACCGTAGCGGATGTTGGCGCATCTGGTCGCAGAACGACGTGGGAGGGCAAGCATGCTTCTGTAATAATTCAGATTACTTTTGTATTGCTATTGCTTATTGAAATAAAACCAACCGCTAATCAGAGAAAGAGTACACGAATGAAATCAAAAGAATTGGCGCGCTAAACGTGAAGGTCCACGTAGTAGTAAATCCACGTGCTTCTCATCCCTTCGTTGATCTACATGTTATAGCACGCTAGCTTTTGCATTCATGCATTGCAAAGGCTTGCCAGCAAATTGGTTGATGTAGCGTAGTGGCTGTGCTCGCTGTTAGCAATCACCACGTCAAAGGTACGATGCCCGTGGGCGTGCAAGTTTTGCGGAGACCATTGCGAGGCTCGCGCTAAGTTCGCGCTAAGTTCGTAATTTGCAATGAGTGTCGTGAGCTTAGTTCGTTTATGTTGTGACGTTCTGGGGTAGATTACTACAGGCCCTTCTTATGTACTCTGACTGTTGATTCAGTAAACGGAAACACTCGTCCATTTCGGACTGTGTGGATGTTATGATAGAACAGTCGTCGATATAGCGACAGTACATAAGAAGTAGTCTTAACAGCACCGGGTTCTCGATTCTACTCATAAAGCAGACCGCTAGCACTGGCGCAAGTCTTTGTCCCATTGCGAGACCTCTTAGCTGAGTACAGTAAGATCCTGACCATTTGAAAATGTTACAGTTCAAGCACTCCTTGATCAGAATCATGATGTTACTTTTACTCAAGCCGAAGGTTTGAATGTCTTTACCAAACTTATCCAACATTTCGGAAAACGCTTGTAAGGCGTCGTCATTTTGAACATTGGTATACAGAGATACCACATCAAATGACTCAGCCACACACTCGTCGTTGAACTTAGCGTTGTGTAAGCGCTCAAGGAAATGGTTGGTGTTTGATAAATGGGACGGTACCTTGGTCAGTAGCTGACAAACAATCTTGTTCAAGAACGAAGATATTCTATCGGTTGGCCCCCCAACACAGCTTATAATTGGTCGTATTTTAAACTGTTCGGCTGTCATCAATCGCGTATCATCATCAAGAGAAAGCTTGTGTGTTTTGATAAGACTATAGAAGATGGGCAACTTGGTGTTTCTAACTTTAATCTGCTCAAAAAACTCTCGTTGAGACCAGCTAACTTCCCAGTAGTAATCCAAACGTGATTGAGTCGTTTGTACTGTACCACATACTCTCTTTCTGTGACGTTGCGGTAAAGCGAAACGTCGCTCAGGTGAAGCTGCGTGATTTTGCGATCTAGATCTTGTGGTAAAATCACGAACTCCCCTCCCTTATCACTCACAGAGATGCGTACAGTATTGCTGGCAACCAATTCACGTACTTCTTTATAACCAAGCCATTGCTGATTAGTCAAGTTCGTGCGATGTAGCCGTTTTAACGTGTGTATGCGGCTAAAACATCTGATGATAACATTTTAAACTTGACATCTGCCTCGGGTGTAGGAGGCGGCTCTTTATAGAATGGGCTTGGAAATGGTGGAGGTGGAAGAAGCTGGCTCTGTGGCATTCTGATCTCGTTTGCTGTGTTATGCTTGGCCTTCATTCTCAATTGATCTCGAAGTCTCTGAAGTCCAGCAACTACATTGCGGAAAACCGACCCATTAACATTCTGAGCGATAGAAAACGAAGGTCCCAAGCTAAGAAACTCATACGCGTTATCAGAAAGTTGAACATTACCGATCACTGTGACTTTAGACATTCCATTCAGACGTTCATTCTGAGCTACACCATTGTCGAAGCGGTCTTGGTTGGGTAAGTTGCTTCCAGCATTCACTTGAGTTTTGAAAGTGGCACCAAGGAGTTTGTCGTACTTAGCACAGAGAGAGGACTTGGCGTTAGATCAAACAGAGGCACAGATCGATCTCGAGCCTTGCTCAATCCTCCTCCAAGTCGGATAAGATAAAATACGTTGACATGCCTGCTCTTTGGTATTACATTTCAATAAGCAAAAATACAATGTACGTCGTTTTTCTTCGATAATCACTCCCAAAATCGTGCTATAGATCTTCTTGATCTTTGGATGGTCTTCGGGGACGTTGCACATTGCTCCCAACTTCTTGCTTGAAAGAAAACGTGGGACGATGTCATTCAAACCGTGGGGATTTCGAAACTAGCTTAAGGTCGATAAGGCATTTGGTGGGGTAGAGCACAAGATCAAAATCTCGCACCACTTTAGGCCTCTGAAGACGACGATAAGTCGAAACGTAAGGCCGCAATAAAGAGCTTCACCAAACCTCGTATGGCATAAGAAAACATTATCACATACTTCACGATGCCGAGGTTTCAACAAAAGAGGACAAGCCAACTACTACTAATAGATTTTCTGCAGTAGCAGATGCACTTGAGTTACGGAAAATGAGATGTTACGAAGAATTGGAATCTTTTAACCGAAAAACTTAGCTTGCAAATAAGAAGTGACAAGATGAAACCTAAGAAGACATAATTTGCGCTGTTAGCTGAACGAAATGACAGGTGAATTTTAGAAAAGCCAGCGCTTATTTTTTTCGAAAGGTCCTTGTCAGGTGATGAGAGATAGACTTGGAAAAAACTCTCATTACTGCCACTCTCCAGACTCATTTGTGAAAGATCGAGAATAGATACAAAAAAGATGTGTTACTCAGTTTAGGGGAAATTCCCAAAGTATTGAAGCTTAGAAAGATGGTCCATCACGATGTGGTAATGAAGAAAGCAAAAGAAACTTGAAATGAATCGCTGTAGTTGTCTAAATATTTATCTTGTTGAAAATTGCAGCCACTCGATAAAGCTTTTCCAATGCAGTAGATCATTCAAAGTACGGATGGACATATGTATGACTTACAGCAAAAATCAATCGTTTTCAAACAAAACGAGATAATTCTCATAGGTATTTATCACATCTTACTCGTCAGATATTTCTGATTTTGATTAAAGATATGTAAGCTAAGACGGGATTGAAGCGGCTCTCGATAGATTTTTACAGCCAAGAGACAGGAACAATAAATGCACTGAAAAAAATCAGTATGCATAGAAGGAAGACTAACCAAGACGAGTAAACACTACTCATATGTTTCGATGAGATCATTGGAAATAAAGGATCACAGAAGAAGACTAGTTTATTCAGAATACCTTGGTACGGTAAGAAATAATCTAACATCAAGCGATAGATTCACATGTATACGTCAACTCAACGACACGCGAATCTCACTCGGCAATTCGTATTAATGGACCGGTCGCTAACTATATAATATTATCCTGGATGTCAAAGCAATTTCGTCAATTCGAAGCGTTTTCATGTATTCCGCAATGCATCAACGATTGAGAAAGATTCGGAAACCTTATTTCCATGATAGTCTTCAAGGGTCACGTGCGGAAATAAACTACGGGTTCAAAAGCAGCTTTTGAATTTCCTTGCTTACTTGTGAATTTCACCATAAAATGTTGAAATACTCGAATAGTTCTCAGTTTTGCCCGAATCATCTATTGCATCATAATTTTAAACAACAGGGTAAGTGGAAAGGAGACATTGATACTAATATCATGCATGCCTAGACTGTAATAATGATCTTGGATATTTCTTCTCATTTCCTTTCTCTGAAATGTTTCTAGAATGCTCTGAAAAACGCTTGACAGTGAGTACTGCTAAAGGGCAGTATCCCGGCGGAGTGAAGGCACCTCATGACAAACGAATTACTGCAGCAGGCCTTTGCGTTTTCAAGCCATAGTTCAACAGATACCGCTTCTGGAGCGAGAAAATCGCCTCAGAGGTTCCGACATAGCAGCTTCTTGATTTTCTTCTCAAAGCAGAAGCCTGGCAGAACACGCCCCTGCAACCTATGACAAGTCAAAACAGCCTTGTTACCACGATTTCCTCCTGCGGACTCACAAAGCTGCCTAGACACTGTCTTCAAGTAAATTAATTTCCTCTCCAAACAGTGGAGTTGGTAGTCATATTCTATCATAGACAAGACTTATGAACTTAGAAAGAAGCTACAACTTTTCACTTATCATAAACATAAAACTTTTTGCAACTCAATAATTCCACAAATAATCACAGAAAGATTACTACTTCACATTTCATTTCATTCATACATGATTTGTAAAAAAAACAATTTATTAAACTTAAGTGAAACACAGTTTATCTACAAAGGAACTCGAATTTCAGTAATCATTGAACCAACAAGATAAACAGAGGTTTCAAAGTTTCAGTAACTTGGTTGAAAACTCCAAGAGAAATCAAAATGCCTTGGTATTCTTCTGTAAAATCTTATCTGAGACTTTTCTTCTAGCACTGAATTATGACAAATGGGAAACCAAAATACTGTGAAAGACCTCTGATGATTGAGTGCAATACGCTGCTAAAAATAAATTGAACTGGTAAATCGTTGTCAAACGATACGGTTTTTTTTTAGTGAGCTCTCTTACTTTCGTTCTGTTAGCAAGTACTTGAGTATGTTAGCATTGACAGAATGTATGAGCAAACGGGTGTGTCCACATATTCTCTGAACAAGCCAAGAAGTTACTCAGGATAGATTTGCTGACTTGAAAGCTATGTAGCTGCTTCTTAAAAAGATGAGCTAACATACTATGGGATTACTATGGTAAAGCAGCTGCAGTTTTGGCAAAAAAGCTGGGGTCTTGCAAAGCAAAAAACTTTTTTAGTTAGTAAGTAAAATTGTTCATTTGTTTTTGCTAAATTTCACTAAATTTCTTACTAAAGTTTCACTAATTTTCACTTTTTACTTTTTTACTAAATTTTTTTACTTAATTTTGTTTTTCCCTGTTAGCAACGTCCATTGAAAATTCTGATACACAGAAAGCCAAAAAGGCATTCAATTGTCTTTTTACTTAATTTGCCCTTTATTTGGCAGTACTTTTTCAATTTTGATCAAAGCAAGAGAATTGAAAAATGATTGCTGATGGATTCAACCTTCTGTGAATCTGTCAAATGGAGCCATTATTGATATTTTCGAAAATTATTTCTTAACGGATATCTCATGT